ATCAGACAGTTTTTGTCATAAAATATTGACCTCTTGGCACTGATTTTTTGGTTGGAATGGAGTTGGACTACTTTTGAAAATGTAACCCATGTTTTAAACATGCTGAATGGTCCAGAATTAAGGCCATCTCAGCAATAGCAAACTCTTACCTTTTAGTCTTTTTGTAATGCCCTGTCAAGTAGTGAATGCTATCAAGTTGTTGTTAAATAGTGGTTCCTAACATATGGCCAGTCTCGGGAGGTACCTCAGACATTAGCAATTAGCATGTTTTGTCACGATGTTATTTTCAGAGTGTACAGTTTAATTAAAATAGGTAGCAGTGAAACAGTTAGCTATGTATACATCAGCGAGATGCATTAGGCTTTAAGCAGGCTGAAGTTTATAATGGCATGAATTTTGACAAGTTTAACTAGTAAACATTTCAGAAGCGGTTAAGTTGCTTTGAAATGTAAGTTTCTGTGACTTTGAATTAATTCATTAGAGTTTTTTTTTTTAAAAAAAATATGCCCAACTCCCTCAGTATTACTGAATAACCTATTAGTCTGGTAGGTCACTACCTATCATGTATGCTTAAACCATAGCAAAATGAATTCATTATCTTGTGATATTGCTAGGAGCTGATATTACCTTCTTGATCATTGAGAATTAATTCTGTAATTTCAGTTTCCTGATATAGGAAGTAGAAATTGAGTATGAGGAGTAGGAAACTTAAATTTGTAGTTAGATATCCACTAAGCAGCTTGAGATTTTGCTTTTGGTATCCATAGGATACCAAAAGTTGCTATCTCACTAACAGAAAGTTTATGCTTATACATAAAGGTCTATTTCACTTACGACAGCTGCAGACACTTATGTATCTACATATATGTAGGTGTGTATGAATACATAAAAGCATGGAAATTCTAAGTTTACAGTATTTTTTTTTTTTTTTTTTGGAGAGGAGGGACTGGGGGAGAGTATTCTCAGTGGACTAAGATTTCCAATATGAAATTTGTCAGCAGTGTAAATAACTATTCCCACTACAACTCTAGCTCTAGAATTTAATGTCATAACATAAGAGCTTCTCCCTTTTTTGTGGACGTTTTATTTTCCTGTATCATGAACTTCTAAGGCTTTTTTTTTTTTTTTTTTTTTTTTTTTCCTCCTCTCTTCTCTCTCCTTCCCCCCTACCCCTCCTCTTCTCTCTCCTCTTCAGAGAGGCAGTACATCCACAGCTCCAGGTGAAATCAGGGGTGGTATGGGGGCTCAGCACCTTGTGAAACACAGTTTGTGTTCCATTCCAGTTGGTTCCCGTACTGCTTTCAAGTAAATTTCTATACTTTTTTTTTTTTAATAATGGGGTAGACTAAATCGAACTTTTTCAGAATGTCTCTATTAGGCGGCTGTAAGCCTTTGAACAGAAGAAACAGAATCTGCTGGGTATATTCGCCATTTGAATTGTCACTTTTTCTTCCCTATGCCTGATTATACAGGCATAAATTAGGTAAAAGTTCTTTTACCTAATTAGGTTATTAGGTGTCAAGCCTGTTTGCTAAAGACTGTAAAGGATGAAGGTAATATTTGCATTAAAATCTTCCCTTAATTTTTCCTTGCTTTTTTTCCTTCCACATTTGACCAGCTTCATGAAATGAAGAGGTCAGATAAGCATATTCCCTACTACTTTAAATTAATGAAGTAATGTGTTTTTGACTATGCTTACAGGAAGGATTTTTGCAAGATGACCTGCCATGTGTGATAACTCTTTGGTAGGGCCATACCAGACTGAGGTTGTGGGGAGCTTAGGGTGGCCTGTCATTGCATGGGAGCCTCCTGCTGCCAACTTTTCTTCCTGGGTGTTGCACTGACACCTAAGGACAAGGAACGGATTGGCTTTCCCTGGCAAGCTGTGCTAGACTATTTACTCACTTAAGATGAAACAGCACTGATGAACTTGAAAGTGCATTCTGAATATTACTTCAGACATCTCTAGCTTTCACTGCTTTCTTGGAACAAATGGGACCAATATTCTCAAGTTCAGCTTGGTTGTTTTCCTGCAGGAAGGTGAGAGGTGGCATATGCTGCAGAAAGTATCTTAATATGTTTTGTTTTAACAGATGTACTTTCTTAACCTGGAGATTTTAAAGAACTGCGTATCTGTATTTTGATAGCATCCACCTGACCTTTGAGATAAAAAGAGGTCTTTTCTTTTTTAACTCTCAATTTCACAACTGTTCTCATAGCTCCTCAGATAAGACAGTGAAGACCAAGGTATAAATGCTGAGATAGGAGATGAATTTTTAAAGTTCAGTCTATCTATCGCAACTATCTGTTACCCTATCCAGCACTGGTAAGAGAATGCAACATCTAATATGCTACTGTCCTCTTAAAAACACCTCAAGTCAACAATTTTCTATTGTTATGATACAGGTTTTTAAACTGAGTATAAGCAACTGCCTCTATTTTACATGTTCCTCAGCAGTGCCCCATTCCTCTTGGAGCTACGGATGGACTCCTCTGAAAATGATATTATTGCTTTATTTTGCCTCTTACTATAACTTAGATTGACTGTCTGGCTGCAAATTTAAAATTAATGTGACTAGATCACAGCAAACAAGCCAGAAGACTAGAGAGCAACAAGAGAAGAGAGAAACAAGGCATATTATACATGAGTTCAGTGAAAATGCATGATTAAGGTTAAGAAAAATAAAACAGCTCTGAAAACAGAAGCTACAGATCCTGTAATTGGACCTGAACTATTTATGCAGTGTGTTATCTTGTAGCTGCTGGCAGTGACTGCCTTTTGGAAGGTAACAACATCTTAACTTTTTGTATGTGTTAGTGCATAGGATTGTATAGAAATACTGGCAAATTTTCTTGCCTTAATCTTTTTATCTTTATCTTTTCCTATCTTAATCTTTTAATCTTTAATCTTACTTTCTTAATCATTTACCTAACCCATTCAGTAGTCCACTTCTGATGTCAGAGCTATTAGATCAATGTCTGTGCCGCTTTCTTCAGAGCTTGGCTTGCTGTTGGCCTTCTCAGAGGACATTTTAGGGTAACACATGGATACAGTATTTCACACACTGGTACCATTCATTCACTAGATTCTACTTCTTATAACCTATGGCTTAGTATTGAATTATTTCTCCCATCTTCCTCCTGCCCTGCTAAACCAGGACAACAGTCACTAGAAAAATATTGCTTTTATTATTGTAGTGTCATTTGTGATGTCCTACTGTTGTTTGTTGTGTTGTCCCAGTGTTGTCCCACTTAACAATGTCGTTTTTACACAAAGCAAGAATCTTAAAGATGAAGTGATTTGTCCAAGTATACAACACTGATCACTGAAGAGGTTAAATTTGGAATAAAGTCAATTTGCATTTGTATTGACTATAAACTGTGCTAGAGACTAGTGCAATTGCCAGCCAGCCACTTGTTATATTCTGTTTAATGCTACTGGTGTGGTGTGAACAAAAGTAATAGCGGCAGTATCTATAGCGAAAGTGGGTTGAGCTATGTAATGTGTTACTGCTTCCCTATCAAGAGCTTATGGTACCACCTGAATAATCCTAGCACTTTTGGAAAATGAAAGAAGGTGACTATCTAGCCATGTGATACCTAATATGATACAAATTCGCCTCAACAAGGTCTTCGCTTCAGCAGTCTAGAAAGCTAACCATCTTGACAGGAAGTTATCTTCCATTGAACTGTGTATGTAGAAACTCTTGAACTACTAAACACCAAAATTATTACAATTTTATTTTTATATTCACCATATTTCAAGGGCTGGAGGGGAACATAGTTTTCATTTTTTCTTGTCTTCAGAGGCCTTTTTGATATAACAAAGCATTGTTTATGTTGTGCATTTTTTAAGCTATTTTCCTATAACCCTCTTATGATGGGAAGAGGTGCACAAAAATGTAATGTCAGAATGTTTGAAATAGAATGAGGTTTGTTTAAAATACGTGTGAACAATAAAACTGGAAAGAACTGTTCTGCCTTTATGATTGCTTTAACAGTGATCAGTGAAAGGAGGAAAAAAGCATAGCTCTTAAAAATAATCTTAGGCTTTCTTGTGCAGTTTAGAGGGCTTGAAGTTTATCTTCTATAAAGACTCCATGACAAAGCTGATATTACTTGTACATAGAGACAATAAGCTGAAATCTACTTTTATGAAGGTGAAAATATTGACACTGACTTCAAATTGGTGTTGATGGTGACTTCAAATTGGTCTTTTCTTGGTGTTTTTTATTGGGACTCAGTGAGTTTCTGTGATGAATCCATGCTGGTCCATCCAGAGTGAACAGGTAGATCCTGGAATAGGGCCTAGTGGAATCTTGCAGTTGAACCTGCTTGCTGAAAAAGGCTAACAAAACCACTCATCCTTGCTGTAGACAGGTCAAAAAAAAAAAAATTACATGCATTGGAAAAAAAAAATTAGACTCTTTCATGGAAAGAAAATTCATGGATGAGGAAGACTCCAACACTGATTCAAGTCCTTAAACTACAGAAATGGGGAGGCTTGGAAATATCACCACCTGTGCCTGACAGGCTGTTGCTGGATATGGTATACTGGGTTAGATGGATATAGCCCAATGTGGCGTTTCCAATGCCTTTGGAAAGGTATATGGTTATATTATTTTGCAGTAATTTTATGAAATATAACCATTGCAATAGTGAGCTTGGTGTTTATATGTGCACACGGGCACACTATGTAGGGCATGAAAGGCAGGAAGCTCACAGAATTAAGGCATTTCACAAGTCTTCAAAAGAATAACTTAGAGTAAAGCAGGGACCTCATTTTAATTTTTCCTGATTTCATCAAAACACATTCTTAAATGCTTTGAGGTAGATATTTCAGGAGGTCAAAGATTGTTTTTTGGGGGATTGTTTTTTTTTTTTTTTTGTATTATACTACATGTTATAGTATGTATACATGTATGTATACATATAGTATGTATAGTAATAACATAGGACATATTGCAAAACAGTTATTCTGATAGTTTTTTTTAGGCATGCTGGCAGTGACCTTCAAGCCTCAGACCTTCAAGCCATGGGGACTTGGGAACTGTGTTACCCTAGATCTGTGATGCCAAGCAGCTGAAGTCAGGTAGGCTTGTCCCAATGATGGGGCTTTTACAAGGAAACCTGATGGGTCCTATCAGCAGTTTGCTGTGAAATAGGCGATTGAGCAAAATGCTTCTATTTTACCACATTGATCCTATCGTATCTGGAGTAAGTGACCTCTGCAAAAGCCAAAAAGGAGTTGTGGAGCTAAGGGCATCTTGATGACACAGGGCAGGTCATCTGGTTTTCTTTTGTTTTTCCTCTTTTCTTTTTTTCATTTTGCTTTAGCCTTGTCAACTGGCTGAAAGGGCAGCTTTTGCTGTAGATGTTACTGAAACATCTCAAGTTTCCCACTTTCTTGTATACTTGCATATTTCTGTAAATGTGCACAAATCAAATCAAACGTGAAACTACTGGAAAAAACATAAGTACTAACAAAAAAAAGCAATTCCATAAAGCATCCACTATGGATTTTGAAGCGTAGAGCTATACTGGCTACAGATTATGATTGTGTTCTTGCTGACACTTATATTCCAGTATTTTGTTGTAAGTGTAAGTTTTAGTTTAAGGTTTTTTTTTGTTTTGTTTTTTTTAAGTCTTAACTTAGTAGTACAGGCACACTGAGCTACACTGTCTTAGGGAAGAGTATTAAGAGGTCATGTTAAAACTGAACATATCTTCAGATGAAGTTGACTTTATTTTATTTATTCTCTTTGGGACACGTCCAGACCTGATGACCTATTAAAGAATAGGGTTATAACAGCAGCTCCTTAGGTAAGTACCAAATCACCTGAGACAGGTGAATGAATATAACAAAATTCTGATGGTCGGCAATGTAAAGGACCTTGCTGCAGACAGAGTTTCTTGACATGTCTTCTAACTCAGGGAAAGGTCTTTCTACCTTCCTTGTCGTCGTCTTTTTTTCTTTTTCTTTTTCTTTTCTTTTATTTTTTCTTCCCCCCCCTTTTGTGAAACACATCATCTGAGCCACCAGGCTGGGATGGTCACTTTGAATTTGCTTTAACAAACAGCTTTCAAAGTCCAGCAATGTGGCACCACTAGAGATACACTCTTACCAGAACGTGCACAATTTTTTGTTGAGATCAAATGGAAATGGCAATAATAGAAAATAAAAATCTAAATTAAGGGAGAGAGAGTCAATAAATTTTTAATCATACAAAATTTAATACTTATGTTAAGGAAAAGAATATTAAAAGTCATTTTATAGAGTGAATTTATATTGGAGCTGATTTTAAAGTTGTACAGCTTTGAGTGATATGATAATCATGCATTTTTCTCCCAGCCCCCCTCAGTGGTACTGGGGGATTGAAATTTATATACTCAATAACTGGAAAAGAATCATAAAGGATCAGACTGGAGGAATCTGTCTCGCTCCATTTTTTCCTGTCACTCCCATAGCGATTTTAATATTTTTCTTATATCTCTGCTTATTTCCAGTGCCAAACATTGTTTTCAAATACAGTGGGCTTGGAAATGAGTACTTAAAGCTGCATGATTGTCGGCAAACTACCATGATTTTCAGGTACTACAATAAAACCATTTGCTATTAAAAAATAAAAAATACAAAACAGGATGCCAGCTCTAAGTGTAACTAAATAGTCTTGTTGTGTGCTTGAATTTTAACTGTTTTAAACAGTTGCTCCCTCATTCTTCTGCCTTGGTGTTAAGGAGGAAAAAAAAAGATTTACAAAAGCTAACATTACAGCACGTTTCTTTCACCCTTTCCAGATATGAATTAAAGACAGGGTAGTCTATTCAACAGTCTGCTAGGCTGAGAACCAGACAATGCTTTATATTACGAATTCATTTAGCCAGTCTTTACTTTACAGATGGGAAACTGAGGCGTAGGATAGCAAATAGTCTATCTAATTTATCATCCTGTGCAATATGTTTTGTAGTCTAGAGCTGCAAGACATAGTATAGTATTATCATGAAATATTTGGGGCAAAATGCTGATGAGTTTTAAAGATTTAATTTCTTGCTTGTTAATTTTCTTTCATACTTTTGATGTACAAGTTCCTTTTCAAATTTGTCTGTGAGCTATGACTGGAGATGGCAGATGTATTGAGTTCCTCACAGAAACGGAGATGTGTTTTACCTAAAAGCAGCCTAGTCAAATTGGTACAGGGTATCACTTGGAAGGATTAGTGAAGCTACTTCAGTATCCTCTAAGAGGCAGGAGACTACCAAAATGTTCTGTGCGCAGAATGAGTTTGGAGTAAATGGATAGATGTTCTTTCCTCAGTTAAAATGAAATAACGGGGGTAAAAAAGATGATCTCATTATGCGTCCTGTCTTTTAAAATCTGATTCATATGGGCATCTCGCATTTTATCATGAGCTTCTGCTCAATGTGTTACGATGACACAGGCTCAGTATGACCCTTTGCTTTGAAGCAAGAGGCTGTTGCCTTTGAAACAGATTAGGGCATCTTGGAAGCCCCTTGAAGACTGAGAACAAAGGATGCACTGACCATATAGGCAGTCTCTAAGAAACTTATCTCAATGCATTTTTGGATAATTCACAATGGTATATGCTTGCTAGCATATTTACAATGGTATATGCTTGCTAGCATATTTACCCGTGTCTAGTCCCTGACCCCTACACTTTAAAAGGGAGGAGAGGGGTGGACGAGGGAAGGAAAAATAAATAAATGAAGACTAAGGTGAGGTTACTCTGACCTGGTGAAACCTGCATGGAAAGTGTGGGTTACTGTGGGTTTGTGAAACGATGTGAATGAAGTTTGTCACATTCTAGCAACTAATTCCTTACTGGTGGATGTTTTTCGTATTCTGACTTCTTTGAATTATTGTTTTCTGTCAACACTCTCTATAGTTGAAGTGCAGAGTACCCTCTAAAAGATGAACACTTGTTTTGAATCGGTTCCTGGATACTGACTCTAGATACTGTCTATGCACTCAAAATTGTGATGTGAATCTGAGTGTCAGCAAGAGTGATCATTGGTTGTAAAGGATGCTGCTTAACTTGCTAGTCTCTCTATCCATTTGCACTTATAATTCATGCTTGAGGTATAAAAATGATGAGAAAATGCATAAACTAAAAATGGGTTTATATTATAGGGGGTGAGAGCAGGCAGGAGGATGCAGAAAATCCATTCAGAGTATAATGAAGGCTCTACCTACATAGAATCTTTGAGACTGAATAGCTTTGCCTCCAAAATATCCAGGGAGAAGTGTGGGACCTTACTGGACCAACCAATACCTATTTGTGAAGCAGTGCATGAAGCCTCTCAGGAGGACTTCACGGGGTCATCTCTGAAAAGTGATTTAAAACATGGGGAAGCAGGAAAGATTAGAGTGAATTTTGTTAGCTGGTAGGAGCAGATGTGTATAGAAGGACCTGAGGTGTCACCTCTCTGCTTGGGACTCTGATACACCTGATGCTGCCATGCCTCAGTTCCCACACTGCTTGTAGAAAAAGTGGGAAAGAGATATACTTAAGGGAGGGAACTCTTCCATGATGAGTTTTGACTATTGGGGTCTATTTTGTCAGCTAAGCTGGAGAACAGAGAAACAATCTTCACAAGGCTATAGAAGCTATCCAAATTTCTCTACCAATTAGAGGGACCTTTGCTAGTCTGAGTGAATGAATTGGGCTTATAGGGAAAGGTTAAGGCCCTCCTTTACCTGGGACAGAAACAGTAGATTTTGTGCTCTGAGTACCTGCTTTCAGTAGTGTCTGAGAACAGGAGGTTTCAATCCTGTGGATTTGTACATTTTGTCTCTTGTTTAACAAGAATATTTGAGTTAAAAAGGTTTAGATGCTCCAAATTAGACCCCCTAATGAGTCAGAAATAACTTCAGAAAGATGCTTCAGTGCTAGATCAGTAGTTTCCTGCTTTCTCATGTAAAAATCTTGCTCCCTTTGAATCTTCTTCACCTTTTGACTCCTCCCTGAGCATCCATGGCAGCATCATCTCTTGGCTGTCTGACCACCATCTTGGCATATCTGGGATTTGCTGCTGTTTTCTGTGTGTTGCTGCCAATTCTTCCCTTCCCCTTTTCCTAACCTTAGGGTTAGATTTTTCTCCTAACCCCTCCAGTGTTTTATGACTCTTTGTTGAAATGATCCTGTGTAAAGTGAGCACAGATCTGGCTCGGTTTCTTGGCTTGGACTCTGAAGTTGGTTTGTATGTTGGCCTCACTTGTTAGGAACTTGTGTGCTAATGTACCACAATATAAATGTACTGATAGAATACTAAGTTTAAATATTTTAAATCACGGGAAAGGGTGAAATAAATGATGTAAGGAGTTCCAAAAGATTTATTTAAAAAAAAAAATAATAAAAATAAAGCGTGTTTAAAAGCTGTTGGGTTCATAATACAATTCACTGTGCTTTTCATTATATACATTTTTTTTTTTTTTTGTATGCGCTCAGCTTTGTTCTGCTGAAGCATAATTTGTCCTGTTTTTAAACTGGCTGCATGCTGTTAATACCCACTTGCCAGGACCTCTTCTTCCCTCTCCCTCCATGGAAAAACACACACATGCACGCACGCATACGCATATATATCTTTGCCTTTGGAAAGCATGATGCTGAGGCATGAGAAGAGGAACTGTCTAGTAGATATTTGTCTTGGCATTTCTCGATAGTTACATAATCACATCTGGTAATGTGGAGAGCTTAGCTGCTGTTATTTTTTACATGGTAACCAGAGATAATAAGCAGTGGTGGTGAGACCTAAACCTTACACCAAATTGCTCACAGTAAGCAAAAATAGGAAATGTATTTCCATACTGTCTTGCAGTTTCTCTTCTCTTTGACACAAGCGAACAGAAACCTGGGACTGGTAGTATTGCTACAAGTTTGGTAAACAAGAAGTAACGCAAGTGAAGTGTATGGGTTTTTACTCCCTTTTTCTTCCCTCCCTTCTAGAGAAAGAAGTGGTCTTCACTTAGTTATTTGTGTTGCAGGTCACAAAAACACGTTTTTGTCATTGGGCATGAAGTACTTGCCCTCCACACGGAACTTCTTCTCAAGGTTAATCCTTGAATCAAGGACTCTTCTTGTTCTTGACCTCTATGGAGATATACTCGGTACATATTACTATATTATGAGTATAGGGTTAGGATAAGAAAAACAAACCTCTCAAAACCTTTTCTTTTTTTCTTTCTCCCCCACAAGTGTAATGACTTTTCCCAGTCAACTCAATTTGCTGGCAGTTTAGAGGTCACAGTAGGAGCAGACATTGAAGGAGCTTCTGGAAGAATAGAAGTAACTAGAGCTTGTGGCACCACAGTCTCTGCTGGGTCAGCCGTGTTGGGACAGGATTTCAGAATAGCAGAGCCCGAAGAAAATGCTGTAGCAACAAGAAGCAGGAAATGCATGATCTGCATGGCTCCATGCAGATGCAAAACCACCAACGCTGGCTTTGGCTATATGTGTGACTAACTTGATAAAAAGCACTTTCAGCCATTAATGGAAAAGGATGACACCACTCCTACTTAATGCATTCTGTTTGGGGATGGAGATGGGCTAACCTAGCAGCATTGCCAGAATACTCCTTGTGAACACTTCTTTTTATAAAAAGTAAAGGGCAAAGAAAGTGCGGAAAGAAGTGAGAAATGGCTTCAAGGTATGCAGCAGCAGGAAGGGACTTAATAGGAATGGTCAAGGTTGTGTTCAGAGGACTGGAAGCATTTGTAGAGCCGGAACTGTGCTAAAAGTACCTCTTGTGAAATGGGCTGTTGGATTACAGATGCTTTAGTTTTTAGATGCACTTGCCAGCACGCATTTGTCACTAGTGGATTGGGACCAGACGGCCATTCATGTAACAAGGTTCTCGCTGCAAATTTGCAACACCGGAGACATTCTTATGCAAGTTTTCTGCCTGAATACTGACACAGCATGATTCTTTATCAAGTCAGAGCTAACACTTCCACAGTGAAAGAAATATAATTGCAGACCAGCTGAAAATTAATGTTATAGTCTTACAATCCATGTCACAATCCTGATGACATTTGTAGTACAATATTATAATGATGTGAAGGATGGAATAATTTTAATGGTTGACCTTGGCATTCAAATAGCATCTAATAGCTGCAGCTTTGCAGGGAAAATAGGTTTCAATGTTCAATTTCTAAATCTAGATTTAAAATACCAAAACTTAGTGCCTGCATATCAAGTTTGCTTTGGCCTATCTGATGCAGAAAATGTATTTTGGTATTAACATACACGTTTGTGTTCCAAATGTATTTTGTAATAAAAACAAAAGTCTACAGCTTGAAAGTAGGAAGCATCAGATGTACTTGCAGTTACTTTCTTACTTTAAGATGAGAGAAAAGGGTTTATGAACATATTCTGTGGAATTCAATAAACAGAACAAGAGAAGTCTGTCATTGCAGAAAATAGAATTGTAAATCAATGAGAAACTGATTAAGGGCAGAAGAAACAGAGCCCTCAGTAGGGTTCACACTAACCATGGAAATTTCATAGAATGGTTGTCCATCTCAAATGCAAAAGGGGTTTAGTTAAGCAATAAGAGTATCTAGTGGTGTAACACCATGGATCAGAATGGCCAGACATACTCAAAAGCCTAGAGACAAATGAAATCTCAGGCTTGTCTTAATACCTTAAGGTGGTTTCTGGATAGAGCAGTGGTCCTGTCTCCTTAATATAGCGAATTCCTCCAGAGTCTGGATGAGGTGTAGTCAAAGACCTAGAATTTGAATTAGGGACTCCTAAAGAAAACTCTGGTCTAATGGAGACCTAGCAGATGTTGCCCAAGTTGGACAGAGTAATCAGTTCATACTACTTTCATACTGATTTTTGGTACTGCAAATCCAATCAGGTGTGTAGTTTTAGTCAAGGGTTGTTTGGCAAAGGTTGTGAAAAGTCTTTGTTTCATACATGGTGAAGTATCAATCTTCAAGTATCGTACAACACATTCAGCAGCATTTAGTTTAATTCCATTTTCAATAGACTTCACAATGGACATAATTTGAATGGAACTGAAGTTTTTGGAAAATACAAGCAACTGTCTGTAGCGGTGCCTTCTTTCATTGTACGCATAATCTCTGGAGTCAGAGGTGATTATATAAGTGTCACTGGCATCTGAAAGCTTTATGTGGTTTAGCTTTGCTTTCTACACCAAGCATGTATGCTATTCTGAAAGGTCATGATGAGGAAGAAAAAGTAGTTCAAGACATGCCATTTGTGAATGCATTAGAGAAGTAAAGAATGTGATGGCAACTGAGAGAGAAAACAGAGGGTGGAGCATTGTTCACTTAAAAAAAATCTTTACTCAAGCATGATATGATATTATCTCATAATACAAGAAAAAAATATATGGAAAGGCAAAATATTTGTAGTTGTGAATTCCCTAAGATGTCTATGAATAGATTTGTAAGGTTAGTCATACTCTATATTTGGCATGGTATTAGTTCTGGCCCAAAAGTGAGGGGAAACAAACTATAGATGAAAGGCAAGAAACAGTGGGTGAACACAAAGATAACCATCAAAGACAGCTTCAGCTGAGAGCAGGGAGCGTGAGCAACATGCCTCAAGATGGCAATGGGAATGGTGCTTGGCAGCATTCTCTGAACACTGCCGCCTGTCTTGACTCTTTTTTTTTTTTTTAATTATTATTATTTTTTTTTTTTTGGTGGGGAGTGGGGCTCAGTAACACCATGAAACCTATGTAATGTTCAACAGCAACTTCTCAGCATATATTCCTTATCATAGGATCCCGTTGAGATTGTCACCCTTTCCCTCAATGCATCCTCTCTCTCTACCTTGGAACAGAACATATTAAAATGCAAAAGAAGAGGAATAAAAAAGCAAAATGGGGATCAGGAGCAGAGAAACACTCCCCTTCCTGCCCTTCCCCCCTCCCTCCACTGGGAAGCATTGCTTATTCCTCAAGAAATCTCCATTATTACATTTTTTTTTTTTTTTTTTTTAAGCTTCATTGCTAACCACTGACAAAAAATTTGTCTTATAGGTCCCACCATTACACATTCCATTGACATAGGGACCAAGAAGCATTATCTGGAAAGGAGAGCTCACAGTCTACATGATTTCAGCCAATCGGAGATGATGATATTGTATTACCGGTTTCATAATATAAATGAAAAAGATGGCCTTCATTTTGATGAAAGCTGTAAAGTAGCTATTGTGCTTGTTTTGTATTGCAAGGCCCAAATGTATTATTTATGCAATTTTCCTTTTGAAAGGAAAAACTGAAAGAGACTATTTCATTTTACAGCATTCAGTCAAAGCTATTGTCTCATGAATGTGAACATTCCTGCATTTTATCAGCTTCAAATGTAGAAGGCAACTCACAGATCATATATAGAAAGGATTTTTGAAAGTTTGAAAACTGCTTTTTCAAAAAGCTAGACCCTAATGACTCAAGACATTATTTGTGCGTGTGTAGGCTGAATCAACACTTAGCCTATCAGAATGTACACAGAGTAACGTCTTTTTCAAGGTCTTAAACAGCTTTGATTGAATCTTGGTGTACATTAAATTGATAATGTGAGCAGCCTGTAATACACGATATTCATAACAACAGAATACATCTTCATTTGGAAATATACACTTATATGTAAAGTCAGCATCCAACCAAGGATCTCAAAAACAGTGATTGCACCTTCTTGTTATGGCTGTAACACAGGAAATAATGCAAGTATTTCACAAATGGGGAAATTGAGGCATGTAAAATTAGGCGACCTTCTTGGAGTTGTATGGGAAAGTGCTGATAATGTAGCCCAAGTCCTTGGGGTCAGTCCTCTAACATAACCACTAGCACGTGAAAGCTCTCCTGAGGTTCTTGGGTCTATGGAAAAAGAAATCTCCTAGAGATGTTGAATTTTCTACCTATTGGCCTCAGTAGAAGTTAGCTGCTTGCCCTTGAATATCCATTCGAAGTTATTGGTTACTTTTGCAGAGGGCTGCATTAAAAGTTAGATTTATATTCAGCCTCTTCTTCTATGTACTTAATGAAGGGCTCACAAGCGCAGATATATCCTTTTCTTCCTTTTTTTTCTTTAATATATTTTTGATAGAATACCTTTGAAAATTGCAATAAAAATACCTCATTGTCATGCAACTTTCTAGTTTAGTTGTATATTTTTTAATGTCCTTTTCTGGGTTCTGGGATAATTTGTAGGGGTGTGTGTGTGTGTATACACCTTTTAATGTTTACTTACCCCGTTTTATCTTGGGCTAAAAGTCAGTAGAATGAGTCATATCAGATCAGTCACAGAAGTATCTTTTAAGAGACTATGGTGGAAGTAAATAATGTTTATGACAGTTAAATATAAGCTATTGAATTAAAATAATAGAAATTGGATTTATTTCCTCTTCTCATATTCTGGTAGATACTTCAGAACACAAGTATAAGTAGCTTGTATGGATATTCTTAGGCAAATCCATGACTGTAACCAAAATCAAATATACAGAAAAATTAGTTTCAGATGGATGTAGATACACTGAAATTGCTATTTAAAATAAAAGCCCCTTTATTCGTTCAAATTAGGCAGCAACAGTAGCAGCACTGCAATCTTCATTGGTTTTGAAGGGATCACTACCATATTTGGCATAACTAAATATGCTTAGATGTGCTTAGGGAGCATGCCCAGGGAAAGCCCTGGCTAACTTTCTCCTAGTCTGCCTATGAAATAACACAGGTTAAACACAACTGGGTTAAATTGAAATACGGTCCCATTCTGTGCTGATATGGTACGTGTACATGAAAATGAGTACTTGTCATTTAATCAAATAGAACAAACAAAGGAGAAGAAAAACTCCCATTCACTGATTGTAGTTGAGCTAATGTTAGATTATAGTTGTCTGTCAATTCTAAGTACCGAGCCTTAATGTTCTGGATACTTACTTTCCTCAATTGCCTCAATTTATATTTAAAATATGATTTTCTGTGATTATCCTTAGCATGGGAATTCACTTGATCATGTAAACATAAAGTGAACATAGGGAGTGATAATGCAAAGAATGATTTTTTTTTGAAGTTCAAATAAAAGCTCATCTAATTTTTTTCATGATTCACCTAGATTTATCTTTTAGAGATGGCATAAGCAAGTTTGCCATTTCTACTCCTGTATTTTCAGTAGCAATGAGAAATATAGAAAGTAAGTGGATTATCTTGATAGAGTATACTTTCTGTAAATTTTAGGTTAGTTAGTCATATTAGTTGTACTTTTCTCATGTTATAGAAATGAAATGTTTTGATATTGTTACAGATAATTCCTGGTGCTTTCAGGGGTAATACACCGCTGAGGTGATCACAGGTCTTTTGCTTCATTTGAGGGATTAAAAAAAAAACCATAAATCCTGGCCCATAGTATAAATTGCTGTAGGTGAGAAGTTTAGGAACAGATTGGGGCGACAGGTACTGTTTGCTGGCCAACATTCTTATCATTGTTTGAAGCAGATGGCTTCAATTTTGTACTCTGTTTTTCAGTTTGTAAAACAGATTATATAATTATTGATCAAATCAAAAAGAAGTTATTTTATGACTGAGTGGTATATGTCTTGAAGAGAATCTCATTTTATTTGGAAAAGAATTCTCCATTTTGCATTTGAATGTGAAAGCTAGCATTGCTTGAAGAATGAAGACTTTTCTTAAAAGATCTTTTTTTATATTGCAAAGTGTCGCAAGAAATAGTGAGTTGTTCTTAACCAAGCCTATGGTTAATGGCTTAGTTCAGAGAAAAAAAAAGTTGGATTTAACATCTAATGATATTAAGAGCAGTAATAACAGCAGTAATATTGCCCTATCTGTGTGCTGTGCCTCTGTCAAGTACAGAGAAATTTCCCCTTTTCCTTTTACTATTTTTTTTTCTTTCCTGCACTATTATACTTTCATAGCTCTAAAACTAAGGGATAAGGGAAGAAAGCAGAAATCGAAATCTGAATTTGGAAAAGATGGCTAGATCTATGTTGCTGCCGGACTCTGCATGGATGAGGAGCTCTGTAGGGCCAAGGCTGAGGTGGAAAGCATATAGTCAGATAAACTCAAGCTGTTATGAATGGAATGGTAAAGAAATCCTCAATACCTGGCTAGTGAGAAGCCTCATAAAAAGAGAAAGTCCAGATAGATCTGAAAGCTCTGGGTTAAGCTATGTTGTCCATCATAGCCTGATAATTCAAAACATGGAAAAAGATATATAGAGGCCAGTCTTGCTGTCTCTAGTAGGAAATTCATTTCATCTGCTGTACCAGAATTGTAACAAAGACCTGTATGATAAACCCTATACAGAGTGACAGAGACCATCTTTTTCTTGGTGAGAAGGTAATATGCATTACTTAGGACTTTAGCAGTAGCTTAGAAATGGGAACCCCTTGTTTTTCTGGTAGAGTAGCTCTCATTCCAATGAGAAAGTTTAGTTCTTCTACACTCAGCCTTTTGTACTATTAAAGCATCATGGCAGCTGCTGAATTATTTATCTTCTTCCAGCAGACAAAACTAGTATTCCACCCAACACCTTCCTCGTCCAAGAGGAAAAAAGCAGTTTGAGTGAGAGAATGCATTATAAAACCTTCAATACAAAAGTTTACATCATTAAGCATTTTAGGGTTTACGTAGACAACTGTGGCATGCAACAGCACTCACATTCCTAAGTGATTTTTCTCTGCAATCAGAATTTCATTCATTACCTAATTTTCATGCAAGTCCCCTGGCATTTGAAATATGTTTCCAGGTAGGGTCCCCAAGGGCTTCCCCCTCCCATAGTAACTGATTTGCAGTGTCCAAAGACAGATCTAAATATCTTTGGCTCAAATTACTTAAGGGCTGCAAAGCAGGATTTGCTGTCATCTTCATCACATTTCACACCTACCGAACTGATAACAGATTAATATCTGGTCGGCAAATATTTCATCAGTGTCTCCAGCTAAGGCACCTTGCATTATTTTATCTGAGGTCCCCAATGGAAGAAGAGGGAGGTGGGGCGAGGGGGAATGAATTTGCACTCTACAGAAGAATGAGGGTGGGGATCGTAAAGGGAGGAAGAGGAGAAATAAAAAAGGGTTTCTCTTGGTATTACAAGAAAAGCAACAAAGCTAGTCCTGGCAAAGTTCTCTGCTCCGATTATGTATACACTTTTATTCAATCATTGTATCGCTCTGTGTCTGACACTTGGTCAATAGTGCAATCTACCACTGATCAGAATAAAACAGCCCTCCTAGAACACCTTGGAATTTCATTAGTTTCTTTTCAATGTTGTCTTTATAACTAGATGTTTGCTCGGGAACACAAATTTAAAGCACAGTTATGCACTTTTTCACATAAAGTCATGGATCTGAAAAATCATGTAAATATATTTTTTTCAGACAAGAAATGCCCTTAAATGTCATGCCTTGTATATTTGTGTATGTATAGTGTGTGGGTGTATATATATATATATTTATATATATAAACCAAAGTATGTACTCCTCATCTCAATCTGATCTGTTCTTCTTAGGTTCAGAAATCTTTGTTTTTTGATTTCGGTCATTGTCTAAATGGCCAGTAGTCTAATTCACTTTCAAAGGCTTAGTGTCAGTTAACAAATGTTACTTCAATAAGCTGATATAATAAACTGGATATAATCTTGTTGGTCCTCTCTGCCACCATCTGTTCTGTAATATTGGGGTGAATGCAAGCTAAGCAGGAGAAAGACCTCATTGCTGAAGTTCATTTTAACTGAGCACTCAGTGAACTTGATCATAGCACGCGCCCTTTTGATATTTGCTAGTTAGCTTTAAAGAAACAGCCAAGACTGCATTTCCGCCTGTGCAGAAAATTCAGTGCTAAATTTTCACTGTTTTAATCATTAAGTACATTAATACTGTGATTAAGAGGTAATTGTTGTGGTACAATGCAATGAAAACTTCAATGAAGTGCTATCTGTTCCTGGGGTAATGCAACCACAATGTATAGTTAGTGCTATTACTGTGCTTCTTTACCCCCTTTCTAATTTGTTGTCTTATATTTTTTTCTTTTTTTCCTCCTCGTCTCTCCTCTCCTACCTACCTGTCTGTTGTAACTCAAACTATCTCCTTTATTTTTTCTCGTATTGCTGCCTCCCTTCTGTGGCACCCGTTTAGCTCTACCTCTGACCTCAGCTGCACCATGCTCATAGCAAGATGCTACGAGAATCCCTATTGACAGCTGCCAACCAGTAACTTTTTCCAGAACAATGCGGTAGAGCTGGCGGGTGATCCAGGGCAAGTGAGTGGTCCTGCTTTGAAAGGTTGTCTGAAAGGGCATGTTTGTCCCCAACTCTGAGTTTGAATCCAAAGTAAACCTGATTCCTCCCAAGGCAAAGGCTAACACAATTCTGCCAAGCCCTCTCTAGTCTACCGCATTAATTTCACCTATAATCATCCTTCTGAAAGTGCATCTGTCTACTGACTATTTAGTTACTCTCTAGGAGTAAAAGCAAGGAGCACCTCTATTCAGCCTTTAGCTTAAACCAGGACTTGAGTTCCTGAGCCAGCAAAAGTGACTAAAGAGAAACATAGAGGGCTCTTTTAAAAAACCCTCTTGAGATCATCAGTACTTTCCTTCGCTTCTTCAAAACCTCTTTTGAAATTAATGATCATATATTAAAATTTCTGTTCATATCCTTCATTCTTTTAAAATTCATTTTCTTCTGTAACTTTCAAAGCGTTAGTTTTCTTCAGCAGCCCTTCCATGTTATGTTTATTCGTTTGCATATTCCAACTTAATCTGCCACTATTGTTTTCATATTCTGTTTTCTTACCTTCTCTCTTTCTTTTTGCATTCCTATCTTTTACTTTCTTAGTGCATTCTGCATGG